CTGATGAAGCTGTTGCAGAAAGAAAGGCAATCATTAACCTTTACACATCCAAGGCAGCTGAGGCTGGTGCAGTTTACTGAGGAGATGGAAGGTGGGAAACCTTATATGCAGCCTAACGGGATTCTCATGTTCCAGTACAAAATGCACAGAGGGATGTGCTGTATGCATGGGACTTCACTGCACACACGCACACACAAACCAGCTCAACTATAAATGGGATGCTACTGTGCAAACCTACCATTGTAGGGTAACGAAGCTAGCTAGGAACATACAGGAGAGCGAAGGGTACAGGGAAAAAATGGGCCACACAGATAAATCATACCTTGGTCCACAAATGCAACTCCTCCAAGCGTACAATACGCAAGGGTGAACATACAGACACCCTGCAGGTAATACAAGAATACATACCAGTGCAGGCTAGTATTAGCACATGAGAGCTACCCAGCCACAGAAGCGCATCCTTCCAGCACAGATCTATTTCTGCTATCTTATGTTGAGCCGGCATGCAAAGTGCGGACCGACCCTAGTGCTCTGGCTCTACCTGTGACAGGACACTGGGGCTTTTCCAGAGAGCTGGCTCAGCCCACCAGACCTGATATTGCACTGCCTGGCTCTGAAGACTGTACAAGGTCTGTCCTTGTCTACTCTCCCACACGACACAAACATGTTGTTCACGGGTGTGCGTGGTGAGAAGATGAGATTTATGAATGTCTAAGGTACACTGAGTAGTAAAACGTGCCTCCCCATGAAACAACTGTTTCATGACAGTTATACTATGACAGCTAGCATCCTCTCTGGCACACTAAGGTAGTAAAAGTTCAGAGTATCTACTAGGGAGAGCTGAGATGCATATAGTGATCATGAAGAAGCTCCATACTGATAGTCTCGAAGAGGCGAATTTGTGTTTCACACCGTATCACAGCACAGAAGCCCTCAGCAAATGCCCTTAACTCAGCCCCTTTCTTCACAACATTTACTCATAGCTAGTTAGCTGAAATCTACACTTCAGTTGTGCATGTCTGTATAAGCTGACCATCAGCAATAGGACACTGGGCATCAATGCCCTAAACAAAATACTTATCCCAAAAGAGCCAAGCATACTCTGTTCCGAGGAGAATCTTCATGGGATCCTGCAACACTGCCTTGTGGGAAATGAGTCATGTCTGAATACATCATAACAGAAAGCCCTTTGAACCGATAACCCATCTATCCAGAGACAGGTATCTGTTCAGGCTGTGACATCATTTTCCCGTCCTATCTGTGTAACACAAGCAATGCTGCCATCAGAAAAGTGAAGTGGGGTGTGCAAAGCAATGTGGAGATAGGCAAGTTGCTCTCTGTGCAACAACAGGGCTCTAATGAATTGCTCAGAGCAGCCGGATAACTAAGACCAGCATATACCCAACGTATTTCTTAAGCGCACAGTTATGGTAAAATCTTCCAGAATCTGCCTACCCAGAATTGATCCCCAAGACCACCAAAAAAAAAAGTTGGCTGTCCTGTCCAACTGAAAGCATTCAAAGAAAACTGTCAATAGTTTCTAGCACCATTATTCATCTAACATTTGCTCATTCTTACTGTTGCTGTCATGGCTCAGGTGGAAGCTGGAACACTCCTGAAACCTAGTGTCATCCCTAGTGGAAATAGCAACGTGGTACTAAAGGTCAAGCAGCAAAAAAACCCATAAAAACCTGGGCTGCACAGGGCAGAAATGGTTCCATAAATTAGTGCTATTACATAGTCCGCCCCACACCTTCTCCTAATAAGCTTAATGGCATCAGGGAAAAGACAACATTGCTCTAGCTATTGTCCTGGAGATAATGGACAATGGTCCTGCAGGATAGCAGCACTACTAGACGATAGGTCATATGGCAGAAGGGACCATTGTGACCATGCAGCTTTTCTTCCTGTGCAACAAGAAAGCTTTACGACTTTTCTGAATGAATTATTGTTTGACCTATTATCTGCCTGTTGGGCAGGCACATGATCCTGAATGCGAAATGTCCAGTGATAGAAGATCCAATAGGATCTTTAGTGATTAATTTGTCTCACCATTCAAATTTTACAAGGTTTTTCTGGTTTTATATATGTCCAGCTTCAATGCCAAACAGTTTCCTGCTCTCACACATTGCCTGCTGGAGCCCTTTTGCTCCCCATATAACCTTTACACTTGGTGAGCAAGTTACCAGTTAGTTTTCTTCTTGCAAAGTAAGGTAGAGTGAGGTCTGTGGTTCCAGGATAACAACTACTTAACACTGTCCAAACTCTCACCAATTTATTAGTTGTCCTTCCTGAGAAGTGGATGTCAGAAACCTGGATTTCTGGCTAAACTACGTTCACCGTTCTGTAAGAAATCACAGGTGCTTGCCAATCAAAACATACCTCAGATATACTTGGTAATATTAAGACCGATATATTAAGTCTGACAACTACCAGAAGTGCCAACAATTCACAGAAGTATGAACCCAACCTAGTTCTGCACCAGAAACTGCTGCCTCAGATGGGAACATACGAAGATCTCTTTCTTTCTTCAAAGCCTTCAACAGGAGGGCCTCTCTCCTGTAGTGAACCAAAATCTATGAGTTCACAGCTTCTTTTTTAATATCCGTATCTTCCTCTGGAGAACACTTCAGCAATGAGTAATCAGACTGCATGCAGGATTTCTGCCAGCCTGTGCGAGCTTGCTATTTCTGCAGCAGTGCTAGCAGCAACAACAACAGACGAGCCGTGCTCTCCGAGATTGGGGCATTAGCAGCTTTGGAACTAATCTGCTCTCCTCTAATGCCTGTGCTCAGTCTACCGTTGTACAGCAAATTTGCAGCAGAATGGCAAAAAGGGGAAGATCTTACAAGCACGATGGTATGAGAGGGGATCCAGGGAAAGTGCCCTCTAGTGTAGAGAGGGAAATGGAAGGGTACATTAAAATGAAGCAGAGTAACCTTGCTTATACAGATAAACAGGCATTCATATAAGCAGTAGTCAAAATAAGTCAGAAGTATGGTCTAGGCATCTCTCAAAGAGAAAACAGCTGAGGTGGTTTCATCCCGTTTACCCACTGTGATGACAGGTTCACCAACATCTTCCTCACCAAGTTTGACTGCTCTATCACACATGCACGCTTGAGTGTAGTTTTTCACACAACCACACACTGAGCACATCTACCTGCACCCAGTGACAAACTAATTGCTGCCCAGTACTATCCACAGGTTACAGAGATTCCCCAGGGCCTGGACCAGACATCATCGAATTTCCATTACCACAAACCAATCACTCCAGGCAAACACCCTCGACCTTCCTGGCACACAACACAGCCCTTTCAATACCAGAAAGGATGGCAAGCAAATTGGTGGACTACAAACAAGGTCTTGGGATTCCCACAGAATTCCTAGTGTGGCCACAAGAAGCCAGAAAATGGATCCAAACCAAATGCCCACAATGCAGTACGTTGTGAGCTTTGAAGAAGAGGACAAACTGTTCTCCTCTGCAAGGACACGTGGTCGTGTGCTTTCATTGCTTGTTGCTGACTGAGTCAAAGTGCTAGCATAGGTCACAGTAAAATAAATCCTTCCAAGGGCATTTCACTACCTTAACAGTAAAAAAGTTACACCATTAAGGTTCAGAAGAAAACCAGAAATCTAGAAGTCTCCAGCCAGCATTGTCATAGCTTCACGTAGGACTGTGGGAAATAACTTTCGTGAACAGCAGACTATACTTAAAAACAATTTTTTTCTGCTCAAAGTACTTTGATTTGCTGAAGTCTACTGCATTTATTTATGAATGTAGCGTTACACTATTTTCTGTGTTTTAAACTGCCATATCTTACAGGCTAGGGCTTTTCTACTTAACAACCTCAATTTCTTCTAGAGGGTAGACCTGGGACAAGGGCTGAGCAAATTCCAGCAGCAGCTGTGCAACCTCCACATCACAACGGATGGTGTCTGCATCCGGCTGAAGGGGGACACAATATAATTTCAGCTAAGAGAAGTGTGATTCTTCTAAGCAGAAGGCTGGTGTAGTATGAAATCTGGTGACCTGAAGCTCTGTGACATCAGTGTTGATGTCTGTCGAGGTATGGTGTCTACTCCTGATAACTGTTGACTGCAGAGAGCAATCACTGTGTTTTCAAGTGATTAGCAGAGTCTTGGCTCGCAGATTTGGATGAGCTGGCAGCTCAGCTTTATGTTGAAATAGTTTGATACAAAAGGAGCTATTAGAACCTGTCTTTCACATTTCTCAAAATATACAGTATAGTTGCTTGGACCTCTTCTTACTTGAACACATGCTCCTTTACCAGCATCCTCCTCCTTTCTTTTCTACTCCAGAGTGGGAATTATTTTGGGATTGCCACTTCATTTCCTATTTCAGCCGTACGAACGAAGATAAGGTTGCTCTTGTGCCCATCCCTTACACCACCCCTTTCCAACAAGAAGAGAGCCGCTTCCCTCCCATTCTGCACGAAACCGATTCCCGCAGTTTCCAAGGCAGAATTGGCAGTGGGTCCCCGGGTGTTTCAGCCCGTTTCTGTACAAGCTCTCCCCTGCCACTGCCGGTGGCACACACTGCCCTGAGCAGCCACGCGAGAACCCGAGGCAGCCTGGCATTACACCTGGGAGGACTTCAGAGGGGACTGGTTATGGGAACAAAGGTAACTCACGTGAGCAACAGGTTCTACCACTGGGCACTTCCCTCTGTTTTTAGTGTATATCCACACAGAATTAACAGCTTTCTGTGGGCCATTTTAGAAGCGTAAATTCAGCTCTTGCTTCCAATATGAGGTGTGGGGCTCATAGCTTAAGATCTGCTTGCTGCATGCATTTATTTACCTCACATCTGAGACCAGTCTTACCGGATGGTAACACACAGTGGAAAACGCAGAAACAAAAGTACACGTTAGATACAGCACGTTCACATTTACAGACAGGCAGCAAAGGTAAAAATGGGAAAGTAAGAGCAAAGTGAAAAAAACACATTCATTCAATGCTATCAACTCTGTGTCTTACCTTCCTATGGGTCCCAGATCTCCCGAGTCCTGGCTGCCTGCGTCACTGGGTGTGCTCACTGATTTCGAAGAGGGAGACATAGGGGTTGGGACTAAATAATGAAAATAACAGGTATCCCATGTTAACACATGCAGCGACTGCACTGATGAAGAGCAGTGTCAGACAAATCAAAACCAATGGACCAAAATGATAGTGGATGAATGAGTAGGAGAGTTTGAAATGGTGAAAGCAAATAAAGAAGGAAAGAAAAAGAAAAGGAAGAGAGTCAAGTGAATTTTAAGTCTTTTGGAAGTGTTAAAACTGACATGAATTTAGACAGGACTGAAAGCCCAATGGGAATCTACAGCTAATCAATGGAGGAGATATCTGTGGAAATAAAATGGCACTTGTTTTCTTGGGTACAGTTTAAAGTTGACTTGCAAAAGATTTTAGAAGTATGAAGAAATATCAGGGGCTTGTCTTGTCAAAAAACTAAGTGAACTCTTCTGGTAAAGTCAAGTAGGCAATAGAACAAGCATACTTTTCAAATTCTGAATTTAAATCAAAAGCCAGTGTCCATTAGATATGGTCTAAGGCTGCAGTGTGGATATGACATCAAAAATAAAAGCTAAATAAGGAAATCCAGCTAAGTTAAAATCATTTCCCAAAGATGGTGAGAATACATATTAGTTTGCTCAGCAATCATGTTTTAAGTAATTTAGGTCATATAAAGTTTCCATTTTGGGTGGGACATGATTTCAACACTCAAGGAAAATTTTCCCTTGGTTTAGATGCTATTTGCCCAAGTTCTAGCAATGATTTTCTCTTTGGCTTGCCAGGGCTTTTGAAGCATATTTCATGCAAAGGCAGTTTTGTTTCCTGAAACAGGAAAGGAAGTTCATAGCTCAAGGTCAGCCCGAGTTAAAGCTCTTCAGCAAGGAAATAATAAATAAAAAAGTTAAAATATCCTGATTTCTTTTAAAATGGTTTCTCAAAAATATTTAAAATGCAGAGATGGCTCCAGTCAAGATTTAATGCAAGTATTCTTCAAAGCAGCCACATTGAATAAAACACAAAAAGGGGTTTTAATGCAAGAACGAAGTTTCCCATTTGGTTTAAATCATGTGCATTTCCTTTTATAGATTTAACGGAGTAAAACTTTAAACTATTTTGTTATGCTCCATAATGTATAATGACAGACCCGACAAGAGGCTTGGATTTTCCATGTGGTCAAACATTTCATGCAGATTCTCACTAGAGACTGTCACAGAAATGACTGCAGCATGAAAAGTGAATTCATTTTCGTGACAGCCCTTTGGCAGGTTACAGGTATGTCGTGGCTGTTTATGTATTCTATATTCACAGTGGGATCTGGGTATCACGTGCGTATGTGAAGGCAGAATTAAAGCCTCCTTTGTATATTAGTTGTGAGTGTATATACAGGGAATGAGAGAGGACAAAATACTATTGTTTAACTAAATCGAATCATCTTATATGTGAATTTTCATGTTCTTTTGACAGTATCAAACACAAAATAATTAACTAAGATAAGAATTGATAATTTGCTACATGAATATATGTGTTTAGTTAATAATATGATAAGGAAATATATGCTCATTTTTAGATAAAAATGAGTATTTTAAATGCTAGAACATTAAAAATGTATCTGATTTTATAATATCACGATATAATTTACAAAACATATTTTATGGTACATAAAAACAACCTAACCATTACTTGTCAGACAATTCGTCTGAGAAGTGGTATTTAAAAGCTTCAGTCACTATATCATAACTTATAAAACCAGTAACTTTTCTCAATAAATGTTGGTTGATGCAAGTTATGAATTGAAATCCCAATTCAGAATGTCACAATCTACTTGCATACGCACCCAAGCATCTGTTAAGGTGCCTTCCTAAATCAATTCAGTATTTTGTCAAATTTGGAGTTTTTCCTAAATATTACAGGCAAGAATATCTAGGGGTAAAATCCTAGATTCAGCCCCAACGAATTTAATGACAAGGCTTGGTACCTCCAGAGGGGCCAATATTTCAGCTAAAATAGTGACCGTGATTCTGGATTCAAGGGAGAAGAAAGCACAGGAAGGAAGGAAGGAAGGAAGGAAGGAGGAAGGAAGGAAGGAAGGAAATTTCTCACTTTAGGGCCACCTAAAGACAGAACTTAATCAAGGTAACCAATATTCACATACTATAAGCTTGTGTTTTTAAACTGAGGATTTCAGATTCTAGAACTGAAACATCAAAACCAAAAAAGAGGGCAAGCACATGAAACCAGATCCAAAATCTACAAGAACGATCTGATAAGCTTTTTGCTAGTTGTAATTTGTCTTTTTATTTCCCCTCTCCAGTTTTCCTTGATTTTTAAAGAAAATCAATGGGAGTTCCCACATGACTATGCTCCTCCTTCCTTAGCAAATGCGTCATCTGAATTTTTGAAACAAAATGTGGGGCTAATGAAGTACAGCATTTATAATATTATTTTGTGGGTCATCAGATAGATGTGGGAGAAGATAAAACAGTCCATCAGAAAAGAAATCACTGCTGGTATGCAAAACCAACCCGCATTACGTTCGCAAAAATTTCTCGAAGAAATGAAACAGATGTTTTTGGCAATGACAAGTACTCAAAATGCCATGAGCTGGTATATGTGAATGGTATGGCAGGCATTCAAACAGAAGAGTTCACTTCACTAATACAGCCAAAAATCAAAAAAGCCAAGCATGCTTTAATAGAAAGAATGCATTCATTGCAGCAGAGCTGAATGCTTTACAGTGTGCTTCTTTTAAATACCTAGAGGTGGTTCTGGGGATATACCAATGCTCTGTAACAAAGCTTCTGTCTCTCTTCTTTTGCGGTCTAGGTCAGAATCTTCCTGAGCTGGCTCCTTCTTTTGCTGTAGATCAGCCTGAGTTAAAACAAAACAGAAAAGTTTCATCCACATATAATCAGCTCTAGCAATTAAGTGGAAAATATTTATATGCACCACTGCTTATGTACACTTTGAAATTTACTTAGATATGTTTAGATAATTTATAACTTAGATAATTTATACTCCATGTATCAGTAACAATATTTTTCCCTGAATGCATGGGAAAACTGATCTTTGCAAGTATACTTGCAAGGATTTTTACAGTACACTGATGGACATCTGCCTCTCACTCTTCAGATGCAACTTATTCAGTTAATATAAAAGCTGACCATAGAATAACAGATATCATTACCCTGAATAAAAATGGCCCCTTCCTACTTACTCAAGGATCAAGAAATAAAATTCCATTGGACTTCAGTGATGTAGCTTAAGGGCCTACATTTGGTCCCAAGCAGTTGTTGGCAACAAAAATACTTTCTCATAAACGTCAACATCTAACAGGAGCAAAGGAAAGGACTAACGCATCTAAAATAGGATTTTGGCAGCCCTGGGCACTAACAGCCAAATCTAATGGTCCACAATACCCTTCCCTCTTTGCTTAGATAACTATATCTACTTGAAGCTTCCAGACATTAGCGTCCTCCCCCTCTGGTCTACTGGGACCTAGAAACAGTAGGAGCAACATCTCCATTAGCCAGAATCCCTTACATTTGGCTCTTCATTCCCCCATGTAGTAAGGTGGAAGGAAAACACCGATACCCCAGCGCAGTGGTTAGAGACTCCCTTGAAAGAAACAGGTTCGCAGCCCTTCTCCCAGGCAGATGAGGGAACTGAACCCACGTCCTACTTTGTAGTCCAGTGCAGTAACTAGTAATGCAAGTAAAACAAAATGCAAGTGGTCGTGTCTATCATTTTATCATGTCTTAAATACAGCAATCCCAGCATAGTTTTTATAGAGAACGTCTGGCCCCAGCATAGTTTTTATAGAGAATGTCTGGCGGCATCTGCCTCTATACTTGGGATCCTGGATAAGGTTGCTTCCAAATTGACTGATCCTATATCTAACCTCCACATAGAGAGGTTTTCCCTTCTGCTGAAACCAGAGTGTGGGGCACAGGGGACTTGCACAGTGCCTCAGCCTGGTGGTGATGTTGGTGCAGGCACAACAGAAAACCTTGAAGTTCAGAAGCATCCCCACCCTTCAGTTTGGACATGGCCAGGATACAGAAGAACATTGCTTTTACAGACAACGACAAAGTTCAGGCATAGTCCTGTGCTCAGCTCTTCCCATGAGCTAGCCTAAAATATCTCACAGTACGTAGGGTTGTAGACAACATTTCTGCACCAGTGTACCTGGCTAAGCACCTAAGCAAATGTTAGACTTCACTCCTGGAGGCCATCAGGCATACCAGTGCACCCCATTTACGGTGCCACTGTTAGGCACCATGGCGTAATCTGTAGAGCTGGGTGTCCCGAGCTGGATCTGGCTATCGGGGCCAACGGAAAGTTCCAACCACCACAAGATCTCCACGAGGCATAAAATCAGAGGCAGGGAACAAAGGAAAGGACTTAATAGCTTCCTCGAGCCATTAGCTTGGCTCCCTTCCCTCTAATTCATTAACAGGCTAGTAATGAACACTGAAAATGTTAACATTTAAAGTTTCTGCTTACAGAGGACTCCCCTAGTGACTCCAGAAGCCTCACTGGGGGGTGTGCTGGTAATTGCACAAAAATGGCTCAAATGAAAAAAGATTAAAAAGACAGCCAAAACTGGAACGCTGATTTCTTGGATCACATCACATTTCCACAGTAATTCCATGAAATTCATGTACAATATTAAAGTGTCAGTTTAAAAGGAAACCGGTTATTAGTAAAGGATAACAGGTGCTTTAAACTACGGTAAGTGTTGACATTTGAAGGAAAGGAAACACAATCACTTAATGCTTCTCTGACTTTGCATGAAAATGAATATCCACTCCCTGTCAATTCTCACCTCTGTTCCACTAAGTGACTGAACAAAAAGAAGTATAAATCCCTTAATGAAAAACCTAATGCATATTGTCAAGGACAAATAAACTAATATGTCAATCAAACTTTAACAGAACTGAAAGATGCACCCATGCCAGAAGATGAAAATGCAATTGCAATTATGTTTTACTTTACTGCAGAATAATAATTGTAAATCTGTTACCTTAGCTAGTAATCAAACTAGTCTTCAGAGTACAAAAATACATATTTAGATTGTAATGGCTTGAAAAAAATGGAAGCCGTCTTTCTGTCTTTCCCCACTCCCTTTCCATCGAAGGAGAGCCCAGCAAAAAGCATTGTGGCAAATCAATTTTTCTTTCTACACACACATACACATCATGTTGTCTAAACTGTTGTCATCTGACAGTGCGTTGGTTTTAAAAAGCAATTCCCTCACCCCAACTTTCTTGACTAAAAAGAACCATTTTGATTTTAAGTTTAGACTGATGTGGGCTTGAGGATCTCATTCCACATGACAGATACCTTGGAGTATGCAACACTGAGATGTCAAAACCTCTGCGAGCCCCTTCTGCAAGCATGAGCTATCTAAAAGGCGCTTTTGCATATTTACCTCTTTCTTCTTCCTTTCTTCCTCCTTCCGTTTCTTTTCTTCTCTTATCTGAGCCAAACGCTGCTTTTTGCGCTCAAGTTCTGCTTTTAAATCGCTTTTGTCTGACATTTTGACTCTGCTGGAAACAAAATTATGGAAACCAAGGTGAAAACAAAATTAAAGGTTTTCCCCATTTACTGAAAAAAGATAATTAATTATATCAAAAATAGTGCTTCTAAAATTGCTACAAATATATTTCTGTATAAACACTGGCCCTTGGACTACACTGACATTGTAGAAAGCAGGATATTTGTTTCACAATTTTTATTTCAGCAGCTCTGCCAGACTGTAGGACCCAGATCCACAAATGGATTTCAATTTTAAGTACGAGAACTAGATCTGCCCCAAACAGCCCCATATATCTTAGAAAAGTAACAATTTTATTCACAAAAATTGGAACTATGACAGCTTTTGCTTCTGCACGTGCCTTGAATGGCTGCCATCCCCGGATCCCCTCCCGTTCCACTGGTACAGCCCCACGCATACCACCATCTCCGTCTCAGTATCTTTTACATATTCACCCCTCTGGGGAGCACCCTCACCAAGCTACGGGCTATCCTGCACAGGAATCTCCTCCACCCTTTCCAGGGAAACCTGGGCCATTCCCCCAAAAAGCTGCAGACGAGGCTCAAAACCAGGCAACCCAGCAAACCTGGGCTTCTCTTTAATGAAGCAGCACATTGCTCCGCAAAAGTCTCATGCTCAGATCATCCTTCCAAGAGGCAGGACACATGCCTAATATTCCTGATCTGACTCCAATCACACAAGCATTTCTTCCGAGCTACTGAAAGAACTCCCCCGCCATTTAGTCTTGAACACAATTCTCTGTAGGACAGTGATGTGAACCCATGTACACTCTGTGTTTTAAATCTCTGTCAATCTATGCTGTTGTTACGTGAGCCTTGAAAATGAAGGGTAAAGAGATAAAAAGTCACATCATGCAGAAATAGAGCCAGATCGCTAAAGAACATACGATATCAATCTTTTTCCACAGTTTTAAAACCACACCAGTGTTGCACAAGTCTGTAACAAATCACGGATAATTTCTTTATTTTCTAACATCACCACCACTATGGGCTGTCATCTATCTGTATCAATGCTGATTTTCTTATTAGCACTTTACTGCAAAGACAGTCCTGACTAATATAGACATTCATGAAAAGAGTTAACTGGGCCTTTCCTATTAATTCACGCATCACCGACCACATCCACCACTGCAACTCAGGATCGACCAGATCAATGGCAGTGTCATGTATACGCAATGGAAGTCTATTGTTTGCTTGATGCATGGGAAGTTTAAATGGCAACTCTCTGTTAATAGTAATGAGAACTCCACCCACATTACTGCCTGGGTGGGTGGATGATCAGAGGGTAAATTTATGGGCTAAAAATTATATGGCACTTTCATCCATCATAAATTCCTCTGCAGTCAACAGCTTCCTCCTCAAAATGATAAAGGGATATTCAGTCAATGGTATGGAGGATATTGCCAACAAAACATCACCTGCACGTTAAATGCAATCTTGGTCCCAAATGCTTTGGTGTCTTGCAAGCATTTTCCTTTAACGAAAGAAAAGAATAATACATGGAATCAGAAGAGGAAACCATTCAATGAAAATGGCAGGCATAAGAGCAGCATGAGGGAGGGCAGAGGGGCCAGCGTAGCTGTATCTGTGTGTGGACCACACCACAGACGCTAACACTTGCCAATGAAACTCCCAGCTGAAGCCCACCAG